TGTGGTAGATAAGTTTATGCGTGAGGTACACTCCAAGTTTCAACTCATTTGAATATCTGAGCAACTCTCAGCAAAAAAGACAAATTCAGGGTCTGTAAAAGAATTTACTGTTCACACACTGTTCCGACCTGATTTGTTTTTTTTTCAGAGAGCTGCTCAGATGTCCAAATAAGTTGAAATTTGGAGGGACCTCACGCATGTAATTGTCTATCACACAAAAAAAAATGGATGTTTTTGAATTTTGTTAGTATTTGTTTTGAATTTTTTTTCTGACCGGGTGCGGGCATCGAATTGGATTTTCGTACTGCATATTAATCAAGCGGCAGCCAAGTTTGACCTATCAATCATACAACTCTTATTTGCAAACAAAAAAAATCATACAACTCCTAACATCTTTCCCTCTTGTAGATCGGTAACACTGGCATTCTTTTATGCAGGATAATTAACAGTGCGGATTTATTTATGCACCAACAAGAGAATGGTGGTCGTCTACAAACGCAAGTAGCTACAGATAAATATGAGCGCCCAGGATTCCATGACATGGATTATATTTGATCAACAATTTCACTGCAAGTAATAGTTCTCCGTCTAACATGTTCCTTCATAATTACAAAGACCATATTCAGATTGATGATTTCCCTCTTGATCATCTTATTTAGGTGCTCTCTTTTGGTTGCTGAAACTGACGAGATTAACTTCTTATATCAGAAGAACTGAATACCCCGCTCAGGCTTTTTTGGCCTGAATTTACCCGAACAACCTACTTTGTCCGGTTTATTTTCAAGAATATAGTTTGTATGATGCCGGAGCCCCTGTTTTGTTTAATGAAAAAACGGATAAATGTTAAAATCATTTTATACGGGGTAAGCCCAAAGTATTACAGATTCTAGGATGATACGAAAAAGATTCTAGTATGAAAATTTTAAGCTGTCGTACGTTCAACAGAATCCCGGTCTAGGGAACCTTCTAGAAGGTTCCTGAACTGGATTTTTTTTCTTATACTCTTTTTATTACGATCATTCCTTTTTCTGTTTTCAAAATTTGAAAATTTCAAAAAATGTCCACAATTAAAAAAAGTTCGCAAAGTTGAAAGAGCGTTCATGTTGTTTTAAACTATTCACACGTTTGAAAAAATCACAAATTTGGAAAAATGTTTGTGCTTTCGAAAATCATTCAAAAAATTTAAAACATTTCGTATTTTTTTAATATCCATTTTTTAAAAAATTGTTCAGAAAATTTAAAAAAAATTCGTGTTTTAAAAAAATCGAAATTTTGATAATAATGCTCGCAAAATTTTAAAACTATTCGCGTTTTAAAAGTGGTTCTTCTTTTAAAAGTGTTCGCTATAGTATCCTTGGTCGGTTCGCTCAGTAATCGGTTTGATCTGCTATATACTATAGTGCTTCTTGCCTGGTTCGCTACAGTGCTCATCGCTCGCTCCATACGCCCGTTCGCTCTGCTCGTGCGCCAGTGGGCCGACCCAGTCGGGTCGCCTGCATTTCCCCGACAGTCTACCGCAGTAAGCAGCAGATAGAGCCCGCACTCGACAGCATGCTCGCCTGCAATACGAGACCTCCTTTTCTATTGGATGCTGCGCGAATTTCCTATTGGGCGTTCAATGCATCCAATAGTCATGGTTTTGCCAGCCCATATACTCCCTCCGTTTCTAAATATTTGTCTTTCTAGACATTTCAAATGACTACTACATACGAATGTATGTAGACATATTTTAGAATGTAGATTCACTCATTTTGCTCCGTATGTAGTCATTTGTTGAAATGCTTAGAAAGACAAGTATTTAGGAACGGAGGGAGTAGGTTATATCGATCCAACTTTAGTGGGAACGGTCCCTGTCCGGTTTTAACCGATTTTGAAAATCTTCTAGAAGCTTCCTGAATTGTTTTCCTTTGGTTCGTTTCTTTTACTGTTTTTTTAATTCTGTTTCCCTTTTTTCTTAAATCTCAAATTTCATAAATGTTCAATATATTCAAAAATTGTTCAGAATTTGAATAATTGTTCACTTTTTCAAAGAAATGTTTGAAGTTTTAAAAAATCGTATTTTTAAAAAACTGTTCAAAGTTTCAAAAAAACAAGTTAAAATATTTAAAAAATGTTCACATTATTAGAAAAGTAGAGTTTGAAAAACTGTTCATAGATTCCTAAAGTGCCTGAAATTTCAAAATCTTTCGCTTTCTTTCAAAACATTTTCACAAACTTGAAAAATGTTCACTTTTTAATAAATGAATTTGCAAATTTTCGAGTCAAACGCTACAGTAACACGTGGTATAAGCATGCCAAGATATTCGTGTGCTGCAGTAGTTATCCCCCTACAGTAAAAGTCGTTCTATAGTAAAATGTAGAACGTGGCCCGTCAAGATTCCCCTTTGCATCGCGCCCCTATTGCATGCAGCGAGGGTTTAATAGGAGCTCCCAGTTCGATATACATCTTACTCACTCCGTTCCTAAATATAAGTTTTTTTAGGGATTTCAATGCAGACTACACACGGATGTATATAGACATATTTTAGAGGGTAGATCCACTCATTTTGCTTCGTATGTAGTCCATAGTGGAATCTCTAGAAAGACTTATATTTAGGAACGGAGGGTGTAGAATACTGCCTGACGCACATATCCACATGCAACTACTCCCTCCATCTCATAATATAAAAACGTTTTTGACACTACATTAGTGTAAAAAATGTTCTTATATTATGGACGAAGGGAGTAGCTCACAAAGAATATTCGTCCAAAGTAGCGAATATCCATTTCTGAGCCAGATCTCATCTCCACTGTATGAACAGTAAAATAAAATAAAATACTACAAAAAATAAAATAAAAAGTGCATGGAAGATATTTCAGTGGGTGAGGTCCGTGTAAAATTTCAGCTTGTTTGAACAGCTGAGTAGCTCTTAGCAAAAATGAAACTGCCAAAACAGTACATGAACAGTATACTACTTCACAAACATCAAATTTGTCTTTTTTGCTGAAAGCTACTCAGATGTCCAAATGAGCTGAAATTTGACATGGACCTCACACACTGAAACGTCTATCTTGCAAAAAGGAAAATTTTGATTTTTTTTCTAGTATTTTATTTGATTTCACTGTTCATGACGGGTGTAGATGAGCTCGGGAGCCAATTTGCCCCTCTCCCAAAGTAGCTATTTTTCTGTCTAAAGTTGTTGAACCTGAAATTTAGCACTTCAAACTGGACCTGTCACGTATGCACAACAGTAGTTTTCTTTGAGTTCCATGTGCATCATGTGTAAGATATTGTTGAATGCATAGCACTGGTCGCTTCCGGGTGTGCAAATCCGAACCGTAAACCAAAAACCAAACCGAGCCAAAATTTTGGGTTTTTCAAGTTTCGGTTTTAGTTTCAGTTTTGAAGTCTGAAAACCGTTTGCATTTCAATTGTTTAAACCAAATTGATCAAGATTGAGTTTTTTTTGTGGGTTCAAAGTTCAAACCCGTAATAGCCATTTACTGCTTCAGTTTACGTGATTAGCCTGACTGCTTATCCAACGTCCCTTCTTTATTCTTTGAGAGTGCTTTTTCTGCACCGCACCTCGGTGCACCTATGCAAAAAAAAAACATACTAAAACATTTTGAAAAAATCTGAAACTTTGTGGGAATAATCATCAACAAATGTTAGAGAGGCTTGCAAAGTTTGGTGATCAAATGACATCCAAGGAACTCTGTACAGAAAAAAAAATTACTCAAAATATATGTGCATTGTTTGAGCAGAATTTGTAATTTTTTTGTACAAAGCTCCCTGGATGTCATTTGACTACCAAACTTTGCAAATCTCTCTAACATTTATCGATGATCATTCCTATAAAGTTTCAGTTTTTCTTGAAATGTTTTGGTATGTTTTCTTGCGTGGATGCACCGAGCTAGGGTGCAGCCACTACTTTCCCTTATCATTTTCTAATTGTTTTTTTTCCTCATCATGATATATATCATTTATTTACACGTGGAAAAGTTATGTGTTGGCTCAAAAATTCACGTCAACTTTGGTTAATTTGGTTATTATCGAAACCGAACCGAAAGGAAATGGTTATTACCGAAACCGATCCATATCTATATATAAAACCATATAAACCAGAAACTGTATAAACCGAACCGAATGAAATCGAAAAAACCGAATGCACACCCCGGCTCCTGGTACACATCCCGAGCAGCTGGAACCTCACGCCAAAATGAGAGGTTAACATGCTACCGTTTCAAATTGCAGCAAAAAGATCACGATTTTTCTTAAAACCTTTTCACATCACTCGTACATGATATATCTGCCATGGAAGACACTTTCAAATCCAAATTCAGCGGCGTGTGAGTTGAACTCATATTTGGAACTCCGTTTTCCTTTTGTTTTGGAAAAGGAGGTTAAAACCTCCGGACTATGCATCATTGCAAAGCACATAGTCATTCTTATTAATTAGTATTAAGAAGAGTATAAAAGGAAGGGCCATGAGTAAATCATTACAAAATATGAAATTACACCTAAGATAAAGTCAATTTTTTCTATAGCGGCGTCTTTAAGAAGGGATAAACATCATCGCACCATCGCCTTCATGTCTGATCAGAGACGCGCTGGACAAGAAATTTCATCCTGATTGTCTGAGACAAGCCAATGAAGACCAACACAACAACAAGTACACAACGCTTTCAACAAGATAAGCACCGCAAGTTGGGAGTAGGGCGTTTTGGTGACCAAGCTCCATGGAGACCAAATTTTTTGAAAATTCCGAATTCAAACTTTTCGGTTTCAAAAAAAAATCTTTAAAAATTCTGCATATATATATATATATATATATGGATGAAATATATGTGTGTAAAAAATCATGATGAAATACCTTGAATTGTGACCAGTAAAAAAATTCATGGACTTTGGTCTCAAGCAAAAGTATATCATATACAAGACGGCATGCACATATGCACATAACAGTAAGAGTTCTCCATTCTGCTACTCTGCTTGCAGTTATGTTTCCGCATGGAAGTACATAGGACTCAGGAAACACAAGCTAAGTGCATCATCTCGTACATTATATCACAAATAAATATTTTCGCTCTCCTCCTCGGATATTGCAGTCAACTCGGATGACAAATGATAAGAATCCTCAACGTGGGTGTGCCCTTCGTCACAGAAGAATGGCCTCGATGGCATTTGCAAGTCATCAACACCACCTTCCAGCATCTCGATGGCCTCGCTCATCGTTGGCCGATCATGAGATCTCATCTGAATGCACCATAGTCCAACAATGCACAGCTTCCTCTCTAGCTCATGCATGTCAGCAGCAGGTGATATCTCATCCACCTCTCGTTCAGTTAGGCTATCATACACCCATGATGGATAGTACGCCCGGCTTGAGTTCGGTGCATTTGGATCTGCATTTCGTCTTCCTCCAGCCATCTCTAGCAGCAGCATCCCAAAGCTGTAAACGTCGGACTTGCTTGATATGACGCCAAAGCTACGAGATATCATCTCAGGAGCTATGTACCCAACAGTTCCGCGTAGCGCGCTCAGTGGCACAAAACTGTTATCCCTTGGGTATAGCTTGGCAAGACCGAAATCAGCAACTTTGGGGATGAGGTTGCTGTCAAGAAGTATGTTGTGTGGCTTGATGTCAAAGTGTAGAATCTGCATATCACATCCTCGATGCAAATAATCAATCCCTCTAGCAATGCCCAAAGCAATCGCATTTAGCTTGTCCCAGGACAGACTCTTCTCAGACGAGAAGATGTACTTATCAAGCGATCCATGAGGCATGTACTCATAAACAAGAGCCCTCCCCATTTCCTCAGAGCAGAAACCCAATAGACGCACTACATTAACATGGTGAATATTTCCGATGGTGGACACCTCACTAATGAATTCTTCTCCATTGCACATGGAATTGACCAACATTTTAATGGCAACATGGACATCACCAGGGAGAACACCTTTGTACACGGAACCATAGCCTCCTTGGCCCAGCTTTTCTCTGAAGTGGCTTGTGATTGCGGTGATGTCTGTGTAAGCGTACCTTGTTGGGCCAAAGGCTTGTTGCATCTGGAGGAACTTCTCAACCGCATCAACTGATATCTTCATTTTCCAGTATTTGTAGGCAAGGAAGGTCAACACAAGCAATGGTGCAAATGCAAGCCTCGATAATATAGCAAGCACTGCATAAACGAGATTGCATACCTAAGTTCGATGTATACAATTATGTAGGCATAATGATTATGATTAAGCGATTTGGTCATTACCAATAATGAACTTCATAATATTTATAGCAGATATTATGACTACCGCAGCCCAAAATAATTTAGTCTGGTAGGAATAGTCATTTAGGCATTTCAAGAAATGGATGTCGATACCGACAATTGCAGAACTCTGATTTCCGATGCTTGTACTAGATATCTGTTTGTAGAAGTAGCTGCAAGTTATAACATTGATTAGTGAGAGGATATGCTGCTTTGAGGTAAGATAATCAAATCTGAGGGGGGGCAATGAAAGCAGAGAAAAGTGTCTCGTCCACAGGGTGCAGACTCACCTCATTGAATCATTCAGGCATGTGTTGATGATCCAAGAATATGCCCAGGGGCTGTCTTGAAATTTAAAAGGAAATTGAACAGCAAAACCAGTCCTCATAAATTTTACAACATGTTCATAATCATAACTTATAAGACTATCTGGTGCATTTATGCGCACGCCACCCAAAGGAGTCATGGCCAAGTATCTACATGAAGGCTGAACATTTCCAACAGAATAAGAGAACATTGAAGTCAAGACATATACAAAAGAACTGTTTGTACTCCGGCAAGCAACGGGCCTGTAAAAAACATTGTCCTTTATGATGCGTGGACAACTCACAAAGGTAGCCCATGTAGGTGCATACGGATAGAACAGGGTCATGTTTGCCGATTTCATACCAAAAACATAAGGATGATCCCTATTAGGAATAGGGCAACTGCTGTTGTACAAATTGACATCAATAACCGAGAAAATAGACTCACTGTATGAGATATTGGTCACGAGGTATCTTCCCCTGTTGATATGAATAATAGCATGGTTATCAACACAAACTAGCTCGTATTCTTGAACACCGCAACCAGGTGGATCACCTCGCAAACGGAAAGGATAGTGGATGTCTTGGAGATGTCCACAAGAGAAAGAAGGGCAAACTGCTTGTCCCAGAATATCTGCTGCTTCACTGCTTATTACAAGAACTGAAAGTGTAGAGGAAATTGTGAATGCTTTCAGAATAACAGAATGGAGGGATGCACCAGAGTTCATCATGACAGCTCCGCTGGTGCAATTTCAGGCCTGGAAGCTAGCATCAGAGTATATAAGAACGTTAATCATCTGGGGCCGGCTTGACCAATATGGTTTCAGAATGATATAGAAAGACAGCTTTTGGCATATATGGGGCAAAAAGTCAGTCTGGTTTCCTTCGTGGTTGCTTCCTAACCCATTACCAGTCATGTGGTCTTGTTAGTCAAACAAGTCGGCATAGACTTTGACTTGCAGTCAACTCCCTTTAGAATACGCAACATCCAAGGAGTCATGTTAGTCAAACAAGTCGGCATAGACTTTGACTTGCAGACAATTCCCTTTGGCATACGCAACATCCAAGCCAGAATCAAAGCCAGAATCTGTATCATGGGTCCATCATTCTATAGTTACTAAGATTTTTCTTCTTTCTGATTCACCATTTAAAGAAGCTCAGTCTTGTATCCTTCTTCCATACGGCTCAGCAACAAGCTCAGTTTTGTAGGCGAAACTTCATCTCCTTGCCTCCAGCCTTCATTTCATCACAGAAAATGTATCAAGTTCTAGCCATAGCTCTGATATTTCCAGTTCTCACCTACAAAATCAGCATGGCCACAGCAAGCGGCGATGGTCAATTTTTCCATGACTGCCCACCATCGAGGTGTAGTGATGGCAACATAGAGACCCGATTTCCATTCCGCCTTGCAACCAGTCTCCCATCTTGTGGGGCACCTGGCATGGAGCTATCATGCTCTAAGGAAGCAGATACCATCCTACTTCATCCAATTCTTGGATTATGCAAGGTCACTGCAATCGACTACAGCGGCGGTACCCTGAATGTCATCCCACTTGAAGAATCATGGACTCGGTGCCCGCTTCAGAAGATCTCTACCACCAACCTATCAACTAGTGTATACAGACTACTTACACCTCAAACTGGAACACTGGTACGCTGTTCAAGAGAGTTCAAACCAGATAAGAAGGCTCGTGTTACACCGGGTACAAGGGACAGTGTTGTTGGCCCAATTTCTTGCCTTAGCAACACAAGCCAACTCATGTATTTGATGGACTCTGGTGAATCCATGTCTCTTCTTCCCTTAGATTGTACAGTGGTGTTGAATGGCATTTGGCTGCCAACTCTGGTGGATCCGTCAGGTTATGATTGCAGATATTCTGTTCTCTTCAATATAAAGGCCAAAAGAATCCCGATAACCTTATTTTGGTCGGTTCCTAACATAACTAACATTTGTCAAGACTGTGAGCAAAAAGGGCACCCATGCGGATTCAGTTCACAACGCAGGCAAGCATTCTGCAAGCACCAAGGTACTGTTTCTGACTTCTGAAGCACCAAAAAACAAGTTCAGAACATTTCCTTGCCCTAAATTATCTGGGCAGAATGTCTAAATGATTCAATAAAGAACAATTATATTTATCCCACCATTGTGACATATGCAAATATGTTTGCTGACCAGCATATCTGAGATTAATAAGTATTTCACACCCCCATGGTTCTGATACTCCAACCATATCCATTGTGAAAAGCATTATAGGTAGCTCCAATATTGCTACTATATTAACCTCCAACAATTCTAACAAACAAGCTGGTTGAGATATAAGATTGCTGTAAGTTCTTTTAAGCCCTTTAAATATAAGGACATTCTCTAATAAACTCACTATTCACTAGGATGTTTAGGTTTTATATTCATGTTGTCGAAGTCATACCAAGCAGCTCAGGGTGAAAAAAGTTAAAAAAAACTCTAGCATGTTTCTCCAATAACCATGGTTTATTAGTTAGAGCGCAATCTTACTGTAAGCAGACAAGTCGGCAAGGTAGATTCACGTTAGTTGTTATCCTACCTTCTGAAAAAAGGTGGCCTGAATCCCAACCATGTAAACTGTATTGAAGTGATGCTCATACTTTTGAGACTGTTACTAAAAAGTGACGTCGCAACAAAGTTAAGATCTCTATGACTAGTTTGATCATTATGTTCTTTTATAAAACCTATCACATTTTTCTATAGTTGGGAAATTATTGGTTAGAAAAAAGTGACGCCAAAATATATATATGATTGGTTTGTGTTTGTCACAAATTAGCGTGACGTCATCTACGTACAATTTTATAATGTCCTGCTTATATGGAAGGTGCGGAAGGAGAGAAACGGAAGGGTTTTCAATTGAACCCATCATAACATTCAGGACATTCACGAGGATATCAGATCAGATGATAGGTCGCAGATAGCTGCTGGAGCCTCAATTGTGAGAGACAGAGATTTAGTGGTGGTATAGGTCGTCTAGATTGACTAGTTGCCTATGTAATTTGTAGTTTTGATGTTTGTTCATCTTGGGCCATGCCTTACTTTGTGGCTGTAAGACCTTTTCAATCTTAACAATATACATGAAGCTCTCCAGCATGGCCTAAAAAAAGACAGTACTAGAATTATTTTTGACTTTCTTGTAACAGAATAATAATTTATCTATCTTGTATTATTCTGCCCTCAAAATCTAAATTGCTTATTTCCTATTTGCAGGTTCACGTGCCAAAGTCATTGCAGGTATTATGCATACATCTTTTTAGTTATCGCTCTTATTCTTGCATACTCTTATACCACATAAGAGGCAGGACTTGAAATAAAGTCTTTTAATCCAAGTATGATTCACTGTTTCCCACATTGTGTTCATTCAGCAACATCATCGGCGGCCACATTTGTGGTTCTCTTGTTGACAGCAGCCACTGCACTATATCTATCCCTAAAATCAAAGGCTGATGAAGAGATACGTTTGAAAATAGAAATGTTTCTCAAGGCATACGGCACATCAAAACCAACAAGGTACACGTTCTCTGAAGTTAAAAAGGTAACAAGACGATTCAGAGATAAACTGGGTCAGGGTGGATTTGGAAGCATATACAAAGGTCGGTTGGCAAGTGGAGTACCTGTGGCAGTAAAGATGCTGGAGAACTCGAAGAGTAATGGAGAGGACTTCATAAATGAAGTTGCAACCATTGGTAGAATCCACCATGCCAATGTGGTTCGCCTTTTGGGGTTTTGCTCCGAAGGAACAAGGCGTGCTCTTGTTTACGAATTCATGCCTAATGAATCACTTGAGAAATATATATTCGCACATGAATCGGATATTTGCCGAGAACTATTAGCACCTAACAAAATGCTTGAAATGGCATCGGGCGTTGCACGAGGAATGGAGTACCTGCATCAAGGGTGCAATCAGCGCATCCTCCATTTTGACATCAAGCCTCACAACATCTTGCTAGATTACAGCTTCAATCCAAAGATTTCAGATTTTGGGCTTGCAAAGCTGTGTTCCAGAGATGAAAGTATTGTTACACTTACTGCAGCTAGAGGAACACTGGGCTACATCGCCCCAGAGTTATATTCTCGGAACTTTGGTACAATTTCCTACAAGTCAGATGTTTATAGCTTTGGCATGCTAGTGCTGGAAATGGTGAGTGGTAGAAGAAACTCAGATCCATGGGTTGAGAACCAAAACGAGGTGTATATTCCAGAGTGGATATATGAGAAAATAATCACTGGGCAAGAACTGGAATCAACTAGGCAAATGGCGCAAATGGAGAAAGATATAATGAGAAAGCTGGCCATTGTTGCCCTATGGTGCATCCAGTGGAACCCAAAGAATCGTCCATCGGCAGCAAAAGTGATGAACATGTTAACAGGAAGCTTGCCCAGTCTAACAATGCCTCCCAAGCCATTTGTTTCGTCTCCAGGTCACCCTATACTGCAAGCATAGATAGAAATTTACAACGAGTGAAAAATGTCTGATATGCCACAACAATATCTTGTAATGTAGTAGTAGTAGTAGTTACACAAGTACTATATCGAACGAAATTGCTTTGACGTTGTGCCCATGTAAAATGTAATGCTATTAATTGTACCAGGGTGGTACATATATGACATCAGATCTAACACAGTTTGCGATTGCTGGCAACAATTGGAAGGTGTATGTAGAAATTGAAGATGATTACCTTGTAATTTACTGACACATGGTGCCGGTGTGCTTCTTCTTGGTGGAGCGGAGGAGAGAGGAGGAAGGAGGTCGAAGGCGGCAGCCTCGCTGGACTCGCCGCTGCTTCCGCCGGTGCAGCAGGGAACTCCCAGGTGGGCTCGCCTCTCTGAATGGGCTGGCTGGAGCAGACAGCGGCAGTGCAAGCTCGCCTCTCTGGGACGACCTAGACCGCCGCCGATTCCGCCAGAGCCCCGCCGGAGTGTATCTTTTTCTTTTGAGGGGAACCGCCGGAGTGTTTTTTTTTTTTGAG